TGCTGGAGACTTGATGTGAACATAATCCCTTTAGTGGTGTAAGATTCACACCCAACTACATTTCTACAGCATCGTGTACAAACACACACCAGTCTTATTAGTTTTATAAACAGGCTTGTAGTTGTGTAGTTGTTTGTGTGACAGCATTTATCATTTAATCTTGAGTAAAAGACTCCCTGGAGCTACAAAGAAAGGAGGGGTCATGTGACTCGGGACCACAGACTTTCTGAGCCAACACCATTCTGGACGTGAGGTGGAGGGCTGTCTGTGTTCATGGTTCAACCCATAATAATCTGAGAGTGAGAAACCTGCATCCCTGAAATCTGACTAACATGTCACCACCTGCATTCACCATTAGCTCTGAGCTGCACGACTTTCCACAACAATCCTGCATTTACTGTTGACAGCAAACCTGGATCCATGTGGGAGCAACAGGATATCGAGAGAGAAAAAACAAAAAAAAACAGGTTCCGTGTTATTTTTGATTTGAAGTCACAGCAGGAGTTATTTGTTTTAGACTCTGGGAATACAGTCAGCACAATGCCCTGAAGGTGGCGTGGGACTGAGTGAAGATCTTTAACTGTCACCGTCATCAGCAGCAGCAGCATCAGTTAGAGGACAACTGGTTGGAGGTGGGATGATAGTGAGTCCCTGATGGTCCTACCTGTCTGTCTGTCTATCTGTCCTCCTGTCAGTCTGTCTGTCTATCTGTCCTCCTGTCAGTCTGTCTGTCTATCTGTCCTCCTGTCAGTCTATCTGTCTATCTGTCCTCCTGTCAGTCTATCTGTCTATCTGTCCTCCTGTCAGTCTGTCCGTCTGTCCTTCTGTCAGTCTGTCCGTCTGTCCTCCTGTCTTGTTGGTCTTCAGTCCAACATCACCGTACGAACCCTTGATATTTTAGATCAATCCAACAGACTCTCAGTAGAACGACAGCCGTCACCTGGTGATTTACTGGATCATTCTGTGTTTTACTGCGCTCTACTCTGTTCCAGTAAATACTCTGTCCTCCCTGGTGGGATGGACTACAGTGACACAGTGATAGGTTCTGGGTTCAGTCCACACCTACTCAAATTTGTGACCATACTGTGAGACAAAAATACCAAACCTCCTCCCTCTGTGTGAAAGCACGGTACTGTTTTTCCTTGACTAGTATTTGTTGAGAAAATAGAAAACAACAGCCCCCCCTCTGGTTGTGGGTCATGTCATTAGTCAGTGTGGACCACGGCCCATCATGCCCACACAGTGATGTGGGAGAGAAATGAAACTGGTACTGTTGTCAACTGGTCAGTGTCAAATTGCAAACTAGTCAAGCCAGCATCTAGCTGTCAGTCAAATGTTGGAGCCATAATAAACAGTGTGTGTGTGTGTGTGTGTGTGTGTTTGTGGTCAGGGTTGAGCTACACTGTACTTGTGGGGACGTCATTGTAAAAGTACTCTTGTTCTGGGGACTCTTTGACTGTGGACAGTTTACACTGAGTGAGAGGGTAGTTTGACCTTCACTGTTTGGACGGCTCAGAACTAGGATCAGGATTAGAATTGGACTGATGTCTATGTCAAGTACTCTGAAAACACCAACACCTGTATGTGTGTGTGTGTGTGTGTGTGTGTGTGAAATCCAAGGCAACATATTAATTTTCATTAGTTCTACAGTCTGTACCTGTGTGACACCAGAGCAAATACACACACACATGAATGTTTTCACTGCCTTATTACCACAGTCACACACACACACACACACACACACACACACTCTTCTGTCAGTCAAACCTGGGGAAAAGTGTTTTTTTTTCACACTCTTGTTCCAGTAAATGTGTTTGTTCCACACAGCAGGACAGATTTTCAAAACATAAGTCTTAGTCAGCACAAACCTGGGCAGTTTATAGAGGTAATCGGACAATAATGACACGGTGGTAGCCGTGTGTAAGGTCTCATTAAAGCGCTGCTCAAACACACACTTTGACTCTCACACACATTGATTTCGTCCCTCTCTGCTGAACGTTGCCTCACACAGCGTGCACTGCTGCTGTTGGTGTGACTGCAGCTCAATAATCCTGGATCACAGCGCACAAAGAGATCATGAGTTCTGCTGGTGGTACTGTATAATCACCGTCTCTGTGATCGTCTGTGTCTCCTGTCGGGCGTCCTGAGGAGCTGCACTTTCGCTGGGAGGACCTGCATTTTTGTTGACTCCAAAACGGACATGCTGTGTGTGTAAACGAGACGTGTGTTGGCAGCCTGTGTGTGTGCTGTGTGTTTCAGAGGCTCATGACCTGGGACACAGTGGGAACCAGCTTCCTGTAGAGGAATGCAGCTAAGCTGTAGCCACCGGCTGACCGACTGTGCGTGACCTGACCCGGGCTGAGGACACTGTTTTCACATTTGTCCGTGGAGGTTGACTGTGCTGAGGTGAGTAAACGCTGGGTAAACATTTAACTAGTGAACGCCTTGTGACAGTGTGAGAGTCTCAGGCTGCCAGGCAGTTGTTCCACACTGTTATAACCTTCACACCACGTGTGTAGGTGCTCAGTGGCTGTGTGACCATCAGAGGCAGCGTCCGCCTCGTAACATTTGACTGTATGGAAATAACGTCCACTTTGTCGTCTCAGTGGACCATCTGGGCGTGCAGGTCACTCAGGTCTCCATGGACCTGCTGCAGGACTCCAGTCAGACCATGAGGGCTGTGAACGTCCGACTGAAGAGCTTCCTGGAGCAGGTGAACAAGTTGCAGGAGGCGAACCACCAGCTGGAGGCTCAGATCGCCAACTGGGGCGTCAAGAATGCATCCGATTTTGAAGACTGGTCTGAACAGGAACAAACACTGAGGCAGCTCCGCACTCAGGTCAGATTTACTTCACCTTTACCGTCAACCACCTAAACTGTGTGAACACATGGAAATGTGTTAGTGTAAAGACACGCTGCTTTGATGACTGGCTGTTTTTTGTCCTCAGTCCGAGGTGGTGACTCTGGTAGATTCACGCACCGTCATTGGCTGGAACAGACACATGTATAATATAAACAAGAAGTGGTGACAGTGTTGATTACTGTTGTTACCAACAGTTTGATAAATACTGTATCGCAGGGAAACTTCAGTAAACACGTGTTCACTTGACAGTGTCCCAGTTAAAGGGACAGTTCAGTTATAATAAGGAGGATAATCAGCAGGGACACTGTCTCCTCCGTCACTGAGATTGAGTGACTTTTGGATTTCAAATGTGTTTGTTTGTGTTGTACAAGCCTCTTTTATCTTGAGTTAAAAATATTGATTTTCTCTGTGGACTTCAGCTCAGGGTTTTAAGATTTCCTGGAATTTCATAAGTGGCTCAGTGTGTTGTGCTTGTCCCCCCACTGGCAGCCATGTTTTCAGGGAGGGTGGTCCACCATGTGTCAAGTTGTTTTTCTGATCTCAGAGCTGAGCAGGTTTCTTAAAGGCCACTGGTTCCATAAAGTTTGGCTCTGGTTTACTTTGCCTTATTTTGAAATATACGGAACTGAAGTGTGTTTTTTTTTCTGATATTTGAAAGAATAAACCAAACACAGAGGTCAGAGGTGACGGCTCATCACCTGAGCCTGCTGCAGAGGAAACACTGTATTACTACTCAGTAGAACATTAACATCGACCTGTGACAGCTCAATGTTGGTCACATGACTCGCCTGCTGTCACTGCAGTTCACATATATGACCACTAGTTCAAAGAAATGCACAAAACAAATTCTCCTGCAGCATTTTAACGCTTCACAAAGGATTTACTTGAAACTTTAATTTTAATTTTAATGCACTAATCAAACATTAACACTTAACTCTCCCAGATGAAATCTTCCTCCTTTATGCAGAACTAAATAGTGAGGATTCTGGGAGGCAGCTGTGAACACACCTTTTCAAAGTGTGTCCTAAACCAGAGGAACATTCCTACAGAGTTTGTCTTTCCTACAATGTGGGTGTTTCCCACTTTGAAAGTGCTGTGCTCTCGAAAAAAAAAATCAAAAGTGAAATAAGGGTGTGTTGATATTTTTATGTGTCGGATGAAAACACTTTGAATGTGAGAGCCAGGTCTTTCTCTGACTCCCTTTGACCATGCTGGTTGTCGTGACTGGAAACAACATTAAAAATAAAAATCTGAACAGTTCTTTTTTCCACTGCACTGGTTTAAATGGTCAAATAATAATGATTCAAATATCCTTCACAATTGTCCTAATGGTTCTCAAAATAGTGGCTGGTCACAAATCAAGTTAGTGTTTGTCCAGTTACTTCCTTGCTGTAAAGCAGGTGCATGAAAATAAATAAATAAATTTCTACTGTATTGATCCCACACATTGTTGTGTTAGCAGCAGATATACTGTTGATATAACAGGCTGCCCCTAGCAAGCACCAAGCATGTGGTTCCTCTGGGAATCAAACCCAGGACTCTCTGCTCTTTACTTCTGAGGTGGGCGTGCTAACCCCTACACTATGGAACCACTGTTCCACTGTGTGACCTGACCACAGCTGTTTTAGTTTTGTTCATGAATACTGTATGAAGGCTTTGACTTTGTACCTGAATAAAACAAAACATTGGCAACATCCCCATGTATAATGTGTACTTAGAAAAAGGCCCGTAGCCCATTTCCTTAGAGCAGGGGTGTCAAACATATGGCCCACGGGCCAAAACTGGCCCGCTTGGGCTTTCAATAGGGCCCAGTTATGAAAGTAGAAAATAAAAAACTTTATGTTCATGAAATGTTTTGTAAAATTATATTTCATGAAAAATTAGGATTTATCTAATGTACTTTTTGGCATGAAAACAAGAGGAAAAAGACAGACTTTTTGTTATTTATAGGTAATTATGTTATGATTGTACTGGTCCGGCCCGCTTGACATCTAATTAGTGTCTAATTAAGGAGCCTAGAAGTCACCTAAACCACGTTTCTGTTTGAACTTCAGCTGCTCATCTCGACCACATCTACATGCCCTAACGTTGCCGTGTGATTTCTGCTTTCTCACAGGTTGGTAAATTACTGATGGAGAATGCTCAGCTGGCACTGCAGTCTGACAACATGAAGTCCAGAGCTGCAGCCATCCAGGCCAGGTCAGCAGCTTTTGGCTCTTAATTTCCCAGTCGTTCCTCTGAGTGGTCTTCTAACCATTAATAATCAGTAGGTCACAGTGGGAAAGCTCAGCTCTGTATACTCACAATAATAGTGCTGACTGTCATTGGTCGTTCATGTTGATGTCCTGGATTAAGGAAATGTTCCACACAGTGGAACTGTGGGAAGTGTGTTAACTGTACAGCAAGAAGGTCACCAGTGTGTTTTTCTGTATGCACGTCACATACGTTGTCTGCTATAAAACAAAATTGTCCCCCAGACGCCCCCCTTTGGTAGATAATTAAACAGTTGTTGTACATTGAAACACATGTTAACATAATTTATTTTATATCTGTCCCCAGCTGGGTTCAGTGTTTTGTAAAAGGTCTTTTAAACAGAAAACACAACAAATGATTTTCTACCCTCCTTCCAACAGTCCTGCCTTACTATTGCCACGCTGTAAATTTTGCCCCCACTGCCCTCACTCCATCATAGGTCTGAGTGTTGGTGTGAATGATTGTTTCTGGAATACATACATTTATTAAGTCATCCATAACTAGTCAAAAAAACAAAGAAATGGCTTAAATTAAATTAAATTACATTAAATTACATTAAATTACATTAAATTACATTAAATTACATTGGATCTGAGCTGAAACTGATAGAAATAAATCAGCCATTGCAGCACTCATTTGTTCCCAGAGTGAGTGCTGACTTTATCTTTTCCCACTGTAGGAAGTGAAAGTGTACACGCCTCTTCAAAAATAATTTGCCCTGAAGCCCTCTGAATTCACTGAAGCTGAGGCTTCTAGAAGAGTTCCTGTTGACGTCCTGCTCCTCCTGCTCTGTTCACACAATGACCAGCAGTCACTGCTCATGTGAAAACCAGACTGCATACAAACACAGGCCTGGCTTTGTGCCGGGTCAGCACTTTGACTTTGATGCAGAGTGACAGTGAGCAGTGACTCCTCCCTACAACACACACACACACACACACACACACCAACCCCACCTTCACTGTCAGCCACAGACCCGTGAAGGACAGAGGAACCTGATGTTTGACTTGTAGCTTCATTGTCTGTCTGTGGACCAGCTGTTTTCATAATGCCAACTTATTAGCAAGTTGAGGAGTGTTAGTTTACACACCTCCACCAGGAGCAGAAAAGGCAAAAATCAATAAAATAAAATGTTCCCTTACAACAAATTCAATAAATACAATAAATGTTTGTTAAAGGATAGCTGAAAATAGCCTGATGCTAGTTTTAGTTAATATGTACTAATCAAAGTGATACATTATAAATGTACAGAAAACCTTCTGTACCTTCTAAACTGCACCATAAAGTAGATTACAAATGGTACCTTTTTTTCCAATTGAAATTAGGAAAGCATAACATAATATATAATATTCACCTAAATAACCTGATTAAATGTTAGCTTAAAAAATGAAATAATTGAAGACATGGCTCAATAGTAGCTTAAAGTTTAAAAAGCAAACCCACTCTGAGGGTCTCACCTGTGACCAACAGGAGAATAACTGTGTGTTTCTGTTTGGTTAATGTTTAATGATTGACAGTAAGACTGAGGACCGGCTGAATGTCCTCATGTTATTGACTTTGTAGGTGTGAGACCGAGGAGCACAACACTCGACGTCTGGAGCAGCAGGTGGCTCAGCTGAGGGAGACCAAGAGGAGGGTGGATGAGAGCAGCGTGGTGCTGCGGGCCGACCTTCACTGCTCCATGACGGAGCTGCAGGAGATGCAGCAGAACTTTGAGGTCAACAGTCACCTCCAATCTAGGGTTCCTGCCTTTTACTCGCAATTGTTATTTAGAAAGCTCTAAAATTAGAAAGTATTAATAATATGTAGATTATTTTCACTCTCTGTGCAAAATAAAGAAATTATTAGAATGGATTTAACAATAGTTCTGTTCCCCCTCTGGAGGGTGGGGACTAACATTCATAGCTCATCTGTGACAGTTGCCCCAGTTCTAAAATGACAACATCTGAAAATGACCATGTCCAGAGTTCAGACTAAAAACCTGTCTCCTGGGACAGTTTTCACAGCGGAGGCAGATTTTCTGGGTCAGTGACTGCAGTTCACAGTTGGACTGAAGAACTGACCAGGTCTGAGTTAGTCAGCAAACACACTGTGTGTGTGTTTCTGGTAAAGCTATACTTTTTGGGGGGTTCCTATCGTTGTGGGGACACAATGAATGAGTGTTAGGATTAGATTTAGAATTTGAATTATGGGAATTAGGGAAAAATATAATGCATATGTTTTTTGAGTTAAGGTCGTAGGGTCATAGGGTTAGGGGCTGCACTGTATTACAAATAAAACTGAAGTGACGTGTATTATTATTATTATTATTATTATTATTATTATTAGAGCAAGGCTGTTGACTAAGCCCGTCTACTGCATCATTCATTTGTCTATGTGTCCACAGATACATTTATCTAATTTGACACACTGTAATCTCTCCTCACATCTCGTTCTCTCTCTCTCTTTCTCTCTCTCTCTCTCTCTCTGTCTGTCTCTCTGTTTCTGTCTCATTGACAAACTGTTTTAATCTTAGTGCCTTGTTTCTGTTTTTTATCTCTCTCTCTTTACATCACTCTCTTCCTCACCCCCTCCCCCTCCCCCTGTCCTTCTGTCCCTCTCTCAACCCCTCCCTCCCCTCTCCCTATCTCCATCCCTCTCCCTACTGCTTCCTCTGGTTGTTTCTTCTTTGCAGGCAGCCCAGGCTGAGCAGCTGCAGCGGGCCGCCTCCTGCGATGTCCTGTTAGCGTCAGCCTCAGCAGCGGCCTCCGCAGCAGGGGGAAAAGGGGGGGGGGGGGG